TGTTGGTAATTAATTACAAAATTGTAAACCCTGGAGAGAGAAGCGGGGTGTGGGGGGGTGTTGGGGAGTCACCTAGGAGGAATATAGCCATGGGCTAACGATTTGGAGTCTCTAAGCTTCCTCCCAGCTTAAATTTTTACTTCTAGGTGTATATATTAATATTTCAGTTGTGATATTATATTATTCTAAGTTTTTTATTTCTTATTTTTAAATCTTCACCCGAGGATATGTTTTTATAGATTTTTTAGACTGAGAGAAAGCGAGGGAGGGAGAAAGGAAGAGAGAGAGAGAGAGAAAGATGTGAGAGAAATATCAACCTGTAGCCTTTCATTCGCACCCTGACTAGAGATAGAATCTGCAACCTAGGTAAGTGCCCTGATTGGGATTCAAACCCACAACCCTTTGGTGTATGGGACGATGCTCCAACCAACTGAGCCACCCGGCTAGGGCTATTCTAAGTTTTAAAGACAACATTTTATTCCTCTGCTTCAGTTTACCAGTCCACAACTGGCCGTGTTATTATTAGCATACAATTCAAGAAAATGATGACATTTCACTATTTATTAATCATTGTTGGAGATGTGGGTATGTCCTACCTCCTTCAGCTAGGGGGCCTCCCGCTCTCCAAAGCCTTACTTCACTTCTCTCCAGAAGATTCAAAGGGTAGACAGCTCCTTAAGGTTCTTAGTAACAACAGTGCCCTGGAAATCTGCTTCTTTGTAGAATTAATCAACCAACCACACATAACCACCCACTCATACGATAGCTACATAAATATCTACTCAGCAAAGGGTGACGATGGGCTCTTTCATGGGTGGTGTGTGGGTGTGGACCTATGATGCTAACTCATGTTGATTTGGGGTATGGTAATACTTTACCTGGCCATTGAAAAATCCTATTTGAAATTGCCCTTTTTAAGACTTACAGAACCACACCCCCCTCCTTGGCCCCTCCACTCGCACGCCCCCACCTCCAGCAGCTACTGCACAGTGAGACAACCAGGTATTTTCACTTCTTAGGTGACCCGTAGGAGCCTCCGTTTTCCCTAATTCTGGGCTTTTCACCATCTCGTTTACAGGTAGCCTGACTTATTTTGAGCTGCGGCACATCTCTATTTATATCCTGCATGTCAGACAGTTGAAGGAAAGTTCCCTTTTGTGGCTCCATCTTTCTGCAAATGAAAGAAATTGAGATCATTCTTTACACTCATGCAGTCTCCCTGTGTGACCCACACACTCACAACTCTTGTGCTCACATAACTGTCCCTGTATTTCAAGTAGGAGAGTTGCCAAAGGCAAATTTATTTCCTGAAATCTTGTGTGATCCACAGAGGGTGACTGAATCCCTGCTTGCTGAAGCTGTTGGTAACTGCTCTCACCCTTTTTCCTCATTCATAAATACTGAGATGTTCTTTGCTGGGTATTTGTGGGAGAGTTCAGGTAGTGAGGTTTCCTCCTTAAGCAATTGCTTTATGGGAGAGGTATGCGTGGAGAGAGAGGCAGCCTCAGGACTGCTCTCTGTGTTCCAATTTTTGAAAAAGTGCAGGCATAGGGCCAAAGACACTGAATTGTCGCCACCACAGTTGTGAACTGCTCCAGCTTGTGTGCCTGCCCTGTCTTCCCCTCACTTGGGTAAATTCCTGGGATTGTGCACTGGGGATCTTCAAAGGGCTTGGGGAGGGTTAATACTGTCCTTGTTCTCCTGAGTTTCAGGTTGGGTTTAAGGCCAATTGTGGCATTAGTTTCTTTATATTTCCCACCCCCATGGCAAAATGCAGTGCCCTCACAAAGCTATAGTGCAGGGACCCTGTCAGCTAACACTTTATTACCTAACTAGAGGCTCGGTACATGAAATTCATGCACAGATAGGGTCCCTAGGCCTGGCTGGCAATCAGGGCCAATCTGTGGGGCAATCAGAGAGCCCCCGCTGGCACCCACCTTAGCCGGCCTGGCACTGCCCGCTCACCGCCCCGCCACCCTGCCGCCACTGCCAGTTGCCTCCTTCTGCGGGGTGACCGTGGGGTGACCTGGGGGGACCCCCCCCACACTCCACCCCCTGCCCCACTCACACCTGCCTTGGCTGGCCTGGGGCCTGTGGGTTGGGGGCAGCTCCTGCATTGAGCATCTGCCCCCTGGTGGTCACTGCATGTCATAGCGACTGGCCATTCTGCCGGTCATTCAGCTGTGTGGTCAATTTGCATATTAGGCATTTATTATATAGGATGATCTAATATGCAACAAGGCAAAGAGCTGGTGCTCATCATCCTGACATTGTGCCGGGAAAAGTGACTAATTAGGTTCCATTAGCCTTCGCAGCTGTGGTGAACTCACCGGCAGCGTTTACGTAAATGCCAGTGAAGACACTCTGGTGGCTTTGTCAGGAAGCCGTCTGACAAGCAGTTTAAATGCTCATTTTTTTAGGGGACTTAAAAAATTTTTTTGATGTGCATGTTTTTTTCTCATTTCCTCCTTTTTGTCTTCCCTTCACTCTCCCCCATTTTTGGACTATTGGAGGACCTTCCCTAGTCACTAGGGAAGTCTGAGCGAGTAGGGAGCCATGCCCTGTCCCACACTGAAGTTAAGCCCCCAAACTGCTGTTCTTCAGATTTAGAGATATTATTATTGTTGTATATTTATATAATCTTCATATTTATTTGAAAAATCAGTAGAACTGTGATTAATCAAGAGCTTTAGAAGATGAACATCTTAAAACTGAGGTCCTACTTGGTTTCTTGGCTCAAATAGAGATGCTTTAAAACACCACTGCTTTTAAAAATGGAAAATGATGGACATTTAGCTTTTGTGGGCATCAGATACGAATGAATTAAATTTTCCTTCAAAGTAATTATACAGATTGAGATGTGAAGTATGCGTGTGCCAGGATCCCAAAATAAACAGAATTAAAACAAAAGTGGGGTTTGGTCAAACGAAAAGTACTTGTAGAAGCGAGTGGTGACAGAATCACTGGGCCCTTCTCCTTGCTATGATGAAGCAAGCAAAGGATACAGAAACAAATTTCCAGGCAGATGAACCAGGCAAAGGGGACAGAAACAAATTTCCAGGCAGATGAACCAGGCAAAGGGGACAGAAACAAATTTCCAGGCAGAGAGAACAGTGTACACAAAGGCTGTTTTGCTTAAGTGAGTTCAAGGCACCAAAAGAGACAGGGATGGCTCCTGCTGCTCCAGGGCTGGCAGGAGAGGAGGCTGGGCTGGCTGCCAAGGGCCAGGTCACGCAGGCCTGGGATGCTCAGGCCCTGGTTGTAGAAGTTGTGAAATGGCGGTGGGGACCAACCAAGTAGGGTTTTGATGAACTCAGTTTCAATTACAGGAACTGCTCTTGTGCCAGACAGTCCAGGGCAAGATTGCTCTGAGTTGCTTATAACTTTGCCCTTCCCTGCCAGCCTCTGGAAGCTCACCAGGGAGTTGGCTGTGCCTTGAAGCCGTCCCCCTAATCACTTCTCATTCCGTCAACAGTGCATGTGTTCAAAACAGGAAGAAAGTCAAACATTTGAGGGTTCTTTTTCTAGATGGCTTTGGCTTATGAATTCACTGTTTTTCCCCATAATCAGCTTAGAAAGAGTTTACCTATTGGCTTTTTTTTGAACTTGTAAAGACTTAACTTTTTTTCAGGTCTGCTGTTATTTGACCTAGGAAATGTAAATTACTTATCTGACCCTGACAAAATTAAAATGGGATGAGTGGAAATAAACCAAACAACAAAGAGAAATGCACCCTCCCAAATTTCTCTCCTCTCCCACCATGGTCAGTGGCCAAGTCACAGCACATTCAAGCATGGAGGCCATGCAATAGATCTCCTGGAGACCCAGAGAGGGGATGCAACCAGCTCAGGCTCACATAGCTACTTTCTGTCAAAAGCCGTTTAGTGCTCTCTGCACTTGTCATGGTTAAGTTGGCTAGCAAGTATGAATTTCAGGGGTTGCACAACTAAAAGGTCATTTGGTTACACAGGATGTTGGAGAACTGGGGGTCCACCCTTGATGCCTGTGCAATCCAGGTTGGCTTAGGCTTGCAGGGACCTCTGGGATTCCAAGGATCATAGAAGGTTGTCTGTAAAATCTCTCCAGCCTCATGACTGAAACGCACCTTCAGATCACATGGGCAGAGGATGAGGGGCCCAGAGCTTTACACTTAGAGTTTCAGTGAGAACTCCAGCCAGGCCTCCTTTGGCAAGAGCATTTTGGTGAAGGGTCCAAGTTACGTAGAAAAAATGGCGATAATATTTATTGCCGAGGGTGAAATATTACCTCTTATTTGATTTTCCTACTTGGGAAAGCAAGAAAGATGTAAGATCAGGACATTAAGTTAAGAATAGCCTATTGTGTCACAAAGTAGAGCACAAAGGCCCCAGATTTTCAAGCATCAAATCAGGCCTTTTTCTTTTTTAAAAATGTATTTTAAAGGGACACATATGTAATACCCTTTGTAATACTGTAAGCAAAAATTTAAATAAATAAATAAATAAATAAATGTATTTTTATTTCAGATCAGAAGGAGATAGAAACATATATGATGAGAGAGAATCATCGATCAGCAGCACACCCCACACTAGGGAGCAAGCCTGCAACCCAGGCGTGTACCCTGACCAGGAATCAAACCATGACCTCTTGGTTCACAGGTCAATGCTCAACCACTGAGCCACGCCGGTCAGGCAAGGCCTTTTTCTTTGAGGAGTGGGGAAGATGTCTTTTGTCTTCCCTCATAATAGAAAGGATGCAGCAAGAAGTCAAGATAATGAACAAGGACCTAAGTGAAGACTGACTTTCAGTGTATCCCCTGAGTAATCCATAGAGCAAGTAATGCCAGAAATCCCAACACTGGGAACTTGGTAGCCAGCAAGCTCTGTGTCAGGCGGATCAGAAATCATGAGCCACAGGTCACTGCTAAGAAGGTGGTCCACGTTATCCTTATTTGAATATGACACCACCAACAGCGTTAGTGACAAAGGAGAAATGGTGCTCAGACTTTGCCGCCCGGCTTAATGGTGATCGGCCAGGTAGTAATATGTATTAATTATTGCTATTATTGTTATTTTTGTACTAATATCAACTAATATTTATGGAGCATTTACTATGGGCCAGCACTATGGTGATCATTTTACTTATATAATCTTATCAAATCCTTACAAATCTAAGGACCTATAATAATTATTATCCCCATTTTACGGATGAGAAAACTGGGCTTTAGAAAGGTTCAGTAACTTACCCAAAGCCACAAAACTAATCAGTCTTAGACCTGGGATGGGACCCATGGTCTACCTAAGCACATAGCTCTGGGTAATAGTAGTAGTACTAAGAATAATGACAACAAACACTCATTGAGCCCTTACCATGTTTGCACATATCTGCTATAGGCACCATGGTAAGAAACAGAGACTTTCCCAGAGGTGCACAGCAAATAAACCAATAATATGAGCACCTACTATGAGTTAGGCCTGAGAGATGATTTTATGGACATTATGTGTGGGGTGATGGGTGAGGGGAATGTTATGTCAGCAGTTCCAATGTATTAAATCCAATAGTAGGGTCGGAGATGGGTCTGAAGAAATGCCAGCCTCCTTGCGGGGCCTTGTGCCTTTTCGCTGCCTCCTCTTAACACACAGCCGGCCCGCAGCCGCCCCCCCGGCATGCGTGGCCCTGGGCAACCTGTTCCAGGCCAAAATAAGACTCGGAACCTCCGAAGGCTTCTTCCAGCTTTAAGCCAACAAATGTGGCATCATCTTCCCAGCCAAAAAGAGTGAGTCCTAAGCTGGAGCTTAGTCCACAGCAGATACAGGAGCTACGCCAAGCTTTTGATCTCTTCGATACTGATGCAACGGGGACCATCGATGTTAGAGAGCTCAAGGTGGTGACGAGAGCAATGGGCTTTGAACCAAAGAAAGAAGAGATTATGAAGATGATAAGTGAAATTGATCCAGAAGGTACAGGAAAAATGAATTTCAATGACTTCTTGACTGTGATGACTCAAAAAATGTGCAAGAAAGTTTCCAAAGAAGACATCCTGAAAGCTTTCAAGCTCTTCGATGATGATGAAACTGGGACCATATCGTTCGACAATATCAAACGTGTATCCAATGAGTTGGGTGAGAACATCACTGATGAGGAGCTGCAGGAAATGACTGATGAAGCTGATCGAGATGGAGACGGGGAAGTCAATGAGGAAGATTTCCTGCGTATCATGAAAAAGACCAGCCATTACTAAGAGTATTCTCTCCTGTTGCAAGCACACACAACTAGTTTTAGTGCCTGTTATTGTGTGAAACCTGGTTTTTGAGAACACAAGTGTTTTTTTCCCCCACTAACCTCCCTGTATACCTTTAGTAACAACCTCACACCCATTTTCAACTTTTTTAAGTGTTCTTTGACAATATAGTCCTTTGTGAGGTGACCTGCTGCTTCCTTTAATTCTCCAAAACAGAACAAGAGCACATTAGAGCATTTACCCACTTGCCATTCTACCTTGCATTGCTTCACTCTTGTCACGCAGTCCCACATTTATGCCACCATAGAAAGACTTCGCAGGCAAATACATGTTGTAACTTTGTCACCACAAACAGCAGGCATCTCTACAATGGTTCTGGTTTTAATTGACACTTAAGCACAGCTTTCTCTTTTAAAAAATACAGTGAACTCTCTCACTTGCAAAAAAAAAAAAAAAAATCCAATAGTAAAATGAAAAACAAACAGGCAAGTGTGAGTGTTTGCTCTTTAACATCCAGATTGAACAGCCCAAACCTCAACAAGTAATTGCTGAGAAAGCTGAGTCAGTTTTCATGAAGTTCAAATGGAAGTGGAATTCCCACTCTTTGCAGCTCTGTCTGGATAAATTTGATGATACACATTCCGGTGCATGTGTCGTCACCGATCATCACCACGGAAACATAAACATCTGTGCTCTAACAAACACTGGAGTGCAGCGTCACTGAATGTGTCAGGGAGGAGAGGAAACTGGCTCAGGATGATAAGGCTCTCCAGAATAAAAGTTCACTCAACTACAATAGCAGTGGCAGCCTCGGTCGTGGAGAAAAATATAAGCATTACTTTTCTGAAAAGCACAAAGCGGGAGTCATGCGTTGCTAAAGGTTGGGCAAGGTTGATTTCGAGATGCTGTCCACATTCAAAACAGTTTCCTTAAAAAGTCACTCTCTATGCTGTCTTGCATGATGACAATAGAAATCCTTCAGGAGCAGGGAGCTCATCTCCCAAACTGCTCACAGAAAATCTCCTGCAGGGCAGAGGAAGGCTAGCGGGGACTGCTGTATGGTTCTGGGAGAGGCCTCGAACAATCAGAAGTAGAATTGACCGTGGTTGTGGTTTGTGTTTATTGTTTGATGAGTCGGTGGCAGTATTAGTTATGTAGTTGTAGAAATTAATAACTAAACGATGGTTCTTGGCCCTGCATGGATTTATAGAAGTTGCACATGGGTGAGTCAGATCATGGACTGAATCCAGGGCTGAGGTATGTTTAAGTTTAATTTGTATGGTGCTTAAAGAAATGATATATTTGTTGCTTTAGAATGAAAAGTAATGAAATTTTATATAAAGTTCTGGATTTGCAAATTATGTTTGTATTCAGAAGATCTAGTAGTGCTGGAATCACATTTTCAAATGACAACAATTTGATCAAACAGAGGAGTTGTGTCCCTTTTAGGTGGGGCATATACTCTACAGTTAGCCACAGTCCCCACCTCTCCCATGGTGTTGCCCCTAGCTAATTTTAGTTACTTTCCTTTCTGTCTGGCCCTATGAGCATTTGATTTTGTGATCATTGGTGGTGGTATTAGAGAGTAATTATTCCTAGCAAAGCTCCTGGCATATGAAAGGCATCCCTAAATGGTAGCTCTGATTATTCTTTATCAATTATGGGCACAGGTATTTAAACTTGATCTTTAGGTTAGCACTGTCCAATAGAACTTCCAGTAACGATGAAATGTTCTATCTCTGTTCTGCCCAACATGATAGTCACAAGTCGCATGTAGCTATTGGCCGCTTGAAATGTAGCTAGTATGACTAAAAAAAAAATTTCTTTTTAAAAAAGTTTAATTAATTGAAAATTAGATTTTAATAGCCACATGTGGCAAGTGGCTACTGTATTGGGCAAAGCAGATGTAAGTAATGGGATTGAACATCCAGTCAGGCGTCCTTGTTCAGAATAAAATGTGGAGAATAGACATTGGGGCTGTGTGGGGGCATGTGCATTTTACAAGAGATTACTTTCTAGTGGGCTTCATCACACAGCATCACCTCCTTTCAGAAAGGAAACCTCCCCTTATTACCCAACTAGAATTTTTGTCGATTTAAGGAGCCAAAGCTATGTGTTTTTAAGATGTTGACTGTCCATTCCTACCAATAAGAACAAGTCATCTGAAGCGTGAACGGGAAGGTTTGCTGCTGTCCAATTAAGGATCCTGACTGTCCAGTTAAGGGTACTGCATAAATATAGTAACTAGACCTGTGGGTGGGAAAGCCTAATTTTTTTGATGAGCTGCTTGACTGACCCTGTCATTCACGAGAGCATAGAGCCCAGAGCCAGTGCTGCCAAGGGGACTGTGGAAAGGCGATGGTGGCCTGCTGACTGCTAGAGGGATCCGATATTCCCAGAGCCAGGGCTCCGTGGGCTGCCTGCCGTCTCTGCGGTTTCCATCACAAACACACATTGATCACATCGAATGATCACATTGCCATATACCAGCTACAAAGTAGGATTCTCAAAGATCCCCCTTTCATGCAACTTACTCATTGCATGTTGTTTGCCCAAAAGTTTCTGACACTGACCTGCTTTGCTGAGCCCAGCAGTCAGAACCCTCCCTTCCTTCGTCACAGGTTTGGAAACCCCAGAACCATCCACCAGACTTCAGCCTATTGGTAACTTACCAGTCTCTGTTCTGAAACTTGCCCTACCAGTGGTTCTCAACCTTCCTAATGCCGCGACCCTGTAATACACTTCCTCATGTTGTGGTGACCCCCAACCATAAAATTATTTTCGTTGCTACTTCATAACTGTAATTTTGTTACTGTTATGAATCGTAATGTAAATATCTGATATGCAGGACGTATTTTCAGGGGTCGCAACCCATAGGTTGAGAACCGCTGCTCCAACTTGTCTAGCTAATAAATAACTTCACTGCTTCTAGGGATTTATGCACAGGAGGGTAAAACTAACATTAGCCTGTTTCATTCAAGATGAAGCTCTGAATTATATCCCTCCTCCCCCCCAAAAAAAGGCCCCCCCCAAAACAGAGAAAACCCTGTTTCCCATTTTTTCACTTCTCACAGGAATCTACTTTACAACAGAATTTGAGTAGTTTTCCAAAGTGCTTATCCTAGCCTACATTCTCACTAGCGGTGAAGAACTCTTATGATGCTGCATGTCTTTGCCAATATCGGTACTGTCAGACTTTAATTTTTTCCAATATGATGGGTGTATGATGATGTCACAATATGGCTTTAAGGTTAAACTATTGTTTAGTGGAAAATATAACAGATGTACAGAACATTACATGAACTTATAGTTTAAAAAACACAAAGCAAACACTCAAGAAATCAGGAACCAAAACAAAAAATAAAGCAAATCTCCTAAAGTCCCTCCAACCTCTACTCCAAGGCCATGTGTTCCTTCCTGATCTCAAAACCTTCCCTCTCCTACAGGTAATCACTATTTGAAATATTGCAACTGTTTCCTTGCTTTTAAAAATAAATAAATCTATTTTTTTATTTTTTTTTTATTTCAGAGAGGAAAGGAGACAGAGAGAGAAGTACAAATATCAATGATGAGAATCATTGACTGGCTGCCTCCTCCATGCCCCACACAAGGATCGAGTTTCAAACCCGGGCATTATGCCATAACCAGGAATTGAACCGTGACCTCCTGGTTCATAGGTTAACGCTCAACCACTGACCCACCAAACGGGCTGTTTCCTTGCTTTTTTTTTTTTTTTTTTAATATACATTTTAATGATTTTTTACAGAGAGGAAGGGAGAGGGATAGAGAGCTAGAAACATCGATGAGAGAGAAACATCAACCAGCTGCCTCCCACACACCCCCCACTGGGGATGTGCCCGCAACCCAGGTACATGCCCTTGACCGGAACCGAACCTGGGACCTTTCAGTCCGCAGGCCGACGCTCTATCCACTGAGCCAAACCGACTACGGCTCCTTGCTTTTCTAATGACCTTGATAAAAGGACTAAGGGGAGAATCTGACTTATGTGATACATGTAGGAATTCCACCTACAGGAGAGCTTCAGAGACAGAAAGGGAAAATGAGAAATAAAAAACATCATGAGCTAAGGATGAGGTCAGGGACCAGGGGCTTCAGAGGGGAGGAAGGTCATTCATCGAATATGAGGAGCAGATATTCAGTAATTAGCTATTTGTCCTGCAAACCTATGTTTGCATCCCAAATTTTATGTATAGTTTTATTTTAGAACATCATGAAAATGGAACCATATTGTCTATAGGCGTTTGCGTCCTGTCTTTCCCTCAACAATGTGTTTATGTGATCCACTCATGCTGTTGTATATCCCTGTAGATTGTTCTTTTTTTTTTTTTTTTTTTTAATATATTTTATTGATTTTCCACAGAGAGGAAAGGAGAGAGATAGAGAGTTAGAAACATCGATCAGCTGCCTCCTGCACATCTCCCACCGGGGATGTGCCCGCAACCCAGGCACATGCCCTCGACCGGAATCGAACCCGGGACCCTTCAGTCCGCAGGCCGACGCTCCATCCACTGAGCCAAACCGGTTTTGGCTAGATTGTTCTTATTACTCAAAGTTTTCCTGGGAGTAGATATGCATCAAATTATTTGTTCATTCTATTTTTAGATGAACATTTAATCTTCTGTTTTAGTTATCATGAACAATGCCGTACTGGACATTTACATGAATCCCAGTGCACACTTCTCTGAAGTATATTTCTGAGAATGGAATTACTGGGTCAAAGGGTACATACCTTTTTAAAAAACATTTTTTATTGACTTCAGAGAGGAAGGGAGAGGGAGAAAGACAGAAATATCAATGATGAGAATCATTGACCAGCTGCCTCCTGCATGCCCCACAGTGGGGATCGAGCCCAGCAATCCAGCCGGGCATTTGCCCTGACCAGGAATGGAATCGTGACCTTCTGATACATAGGTTAACACTCAACCACTGAGCCACACCAGCCAGGCAAGGGTACATAACTTTTGAACCTTATTAGATAATGCCTGTTTTCTGAGACATCTACCAACAGTGTGTAAGAATTCTTATTCCACATCCTCATCAACACTTGATATTGTGTGTGTGTGGGGGGGGGGGGGGGGGGTACTGGTAAGGATACAATGGCAT